ATATGTGAGTAGCCATACTATGTCTTTATTCTAGCTAGAGGATGTGTGAGTCCCACGAAGGGACTCTCCCGGGGTTAGGGTGGGTGGGAGTGTGCTCATCCTTGTCCTCCATCTTCCAGAAAGAAACACTCTCTGACGCACTATGACTATGGCAATGCAGTATCAGACCACGGCTCCATTGTGGCACCCCATTCTTCTCTTTCCAGATGAGAAGCCAGGCTCAGAAGGAGGAAAGGAGTCATCTACAGTCACCGTGAAAGGGGAGACCTGAGAGTTGAATTGAGATTTCTTTTTCTCTAAAGGCTGTTTTTATTAACAGATATTATTTTTAGTTACATGTGGACCTGTGAGTCTGCATGTAGATATGTGGGCACAGGTGCCCATGGAGACCAGATACATGGAATCCCCTTGGACTGGAATTAAGATCTGCCTGACAGGGATGCTGGGGACAGAATTCTGGTCTTTTGGAAGTGCAACAAGTGCTCTTAACTGCTGATCTATCTTTCCAGCCCCCAAAGGCAATTTAAAAAACTCCTACACAGACATCTTGGCCAAAGATCACCTTGTAGTGCTTTCCTCTGCTCTATTTATTTATCTAGAATTACATGCTGGGCACGGGGGCTTCTTGAAGTTGGAGGCTGAGTCTAATAAAGTCCACCTCGGAAGAGATGTGATGCTAGTAAGTGGGAAAAGGACCAGCAGTTTCCCAAAAGCATCTCCAAGGGAGGTGGCTGGAGGGATGCAACCCAGACAGTTCTCTGTGCTATCTCCCATCTTCCGAGAGACATCCTGGCTCCTGAGCTGCCCTACTTAGGCAGCTGCTCTGTCACCTCTCAATCGAAGGCCCAAATCCAAAGAAAGAGGAGACTGCCCCACTACGGCAGGACAGCTTCGGGTTGCCAATGGAAGAAGGCCTGGGTGAGATAAGAGATACACAGTCCTGCGGAAGGAGCCTGCGCTGCCCAGAAGGCCTTGCAGGAAATCACCCCCTTCCTTGAGGGCTAGAAGGAGGGAATGACTCAGGGCAAAGCGTGTGACTTCCGTATTTTACAGCCAGGACTGTAGTGAGACCCCTGGACCAGGTGCCCACCAGCTTCTCCTTTCCCAGGGGTCTATCTAATAAGACTTTTCTTCTGGCTTTTTCCATTGCTTCTCCAGAATCAAATTAGCACAACTGGCTTGGTCTCTTGTTCTAACTCCTGCCAGGCCATGTCCTAGGGGAACAGGACCAGGAGTGAAGCACAGGGAGATGAGGCTAGGGTGGGTGGGGCAAGTGAGACTGAATTTATGCCTCTGCTCTGTGCTTGTCTTTCACAGAGTCCATAGCGGGAAGGTGGACTCTCCTAAGGAAGAAAGGTGTCTTCTCAACACCTTCACGTACTACAGGCTCAAGGTATTTATGCTGAATTTGTAAATGGACTGGGCCCAGATCAGTCCTCTCTGCATTGCACTGTGGCTGAGGGATGCTCAGGATTCAGGGCCTCCAGTTCAGAATGCCAGCCTTGCCACTTACCGTCAGGTTTTAAGTCAAGTTGCTTAGCCTCTTCTATACAGTAAGGGTAATGATAAGAGCCACCTAGTAGGCGTGTTGACAGCTGGAAGATTTAACGTGTGCAAAGTGCTCGGCACAGGCCCTGGCACAGAAACATCATGCAGCCATCATCTGTTTTTATTTTTTAGCTGTAGACATTGATCCAGTCCTAGACTCTTGCCTCTGCTCCTGTCTCAGGTCCAGTCCCCGCCATCCTGCTTCTGGCTCATTGCCACCACACCCCCATGTCGTCTGCACACTTGGTGTATGCTTTCACTGACTCATTGCTGTCACTCTGTACATTTTTCTGTAATTGCAGTCACTTATTTATTTGTGTGCATACGCTTGCACATGTACCACGGTGAGGCACAGAAGTCAGAGGACAACTTTTAGGAGGCGTTTCCCTCAACCGTGTGAGACCCAGGAATTGATCTCAGGTTGCCAGGCTTTGGTGGCAAATGTCTTTACTCACTGAGCCATCTTATGGGTCTTCTCGACCTTATTTTTTGAGACAGATTCTCGAACTGGACCTAGTGCTCACTAACAAGGCTAGCCTGGCTGGCCATCAAGCACCAGGGGCCATCCTGTCTCTGCCTTTCCAGAAGTGGGATTGTGGTGTACATTGCTACACCTGGGCTTTTATATGGGTGCTGAGTATTGAACTCAGGTCCTCATGTGTATACCGCAAGCCCCCAGGCTCTCTTATTTCTTTACCCTGCCTATCCTTATATCTGTACCACAGTGTCTCAGTTTTTGTTACTTTATGGTTTTGAAATATGAAATTGTGAGCCTTCCAGTTTTGATCCATCTTTTTGTTTTGGCTATTCTGGATTTCTCCCAATTCCATATGGATTCTAGGATATGTCTGTTTATTTCTGTGAAGAAAGCAGCTAAGATTCAGATACAGGATTTTTGAGTCACCAGACACCAGCACTACTTATGCCTTCAGCTTTTAAATCAGCGGTACATTGTTCTTTATTTAGATTTTTAAAAATGGTGCTAGGGGTGCTGAAAATAATTCATTACTAAATTAAAGCCCATTACTTGTTATAGGTCTGTGGTTTATATCTTCCTAGGAAATCTCCTGCTAAGTCTAACATGCATGTGCTCCTTTTCCTGTATAATCCTGTTCTACAGTGCAGCCAGAGTGATGCTTCAAAAAAACAAAAATGTAAAAAATGCCAATCTTGAACCAGCCCGATGGCTCAATGGATAAAAGCACTTGCTATACAACCCAGGCAACCTACATTTCATTCCCAGAACACATGCAAGGTGGAAGGAGAGAACTGACTCCATAAAATTGTCCTCTGACCTTTGTACACTCACTGCGGCACACTGCCCACACACATATCACACACACACACACACATCACACACATCACACACATCTCACACACACACACAATAATAATAATAAAATACAAATCTGATCCAGACACATACCTTTACCCACAGCTTTTAAAGATTTTGTTTTTATGTATATGTGTGTGTAAGCCATGTGTGTGCTTACACAGGCTGTACGAGTGCATTGAATTCCCTGCAACTGGAATTACAGTAGCTTTGAGCTGCCTGTGGGTGTCGGGAATCTGAATTTGGTCCTCCAAGCCATCTCTTGGCATTAATTTACCTTTTGTTTTTTCACTAGCTGCTCTTAGTAATGACCCACGTCCTAAGGCTGCCTCTAAAGCCCAGGATGGCCTGGCCTTTGTCACAAAGTTCATGGATGAATGCTTGCTTTGTTCCAGCTCTGGGAAACTAAGCTTTGATTCTGACCACACCACCAGCCACTGGTGCTGCTCCTGTGCTAGAATCTCTTCCTCTAGGGGACACCTGCTTCCTCTCTGCGCCAGCAAAAGCTTTCCTGGTCCCACCTCTGTTCCGTGTTCCCCAAGTGCCCTCTTCCAGCACGGACCACTCACCAATGACACGTGTCAAAGTGTCCTCATCTATGGGTAAATTTTAAATTATTTTATTTCAGTTTGTTTGTTTATACATCCCAACCAAATTTAGTCAGAGTTTCATGGAGCCCAGGAGGATCTCTGACCAGGATGACCTTGAACTTGTGACTCTCCTACCTCCACCTCTCTAGTGCTCGGATTGCAGGCCTATAATACCATGGCCAGTTTATATAGTGCTGGGAATTGAACCCAGGGGTTTGCGCATGCTGAGCTAGTACTGTTAACTGAACTGCATCCCCAGCCTTGAACAACTTAAAAAATATATTTTATTTTTAAAATTATGCATATGTGTGTGTCTGGGGGTGGGGTGTGTGTGTCATGTGAGGTGCCCGTGGAGGCCAGAATAGAGAGTTGTGTCCTCTGGAGTGGGGGATTATAGTGGTGAAGAGTCTGGTATGGATGCTGGGATCCAAACTCAGATCCTCCGGAAAAGTAGTACTTGCTCTTAATAATTGAGCCATCTCTCCAACCCTAGGGCTGCTTTTTAAATTCTTCGCCCCTGGACCAGGTCCCCACAGTGAATGTAGTTCTGAAGTTCTGTTCTAGCACATTCCATCTATCCTACATCAGCTTCCCATTTACCACAGTGACTTTCTTCCTCTTGAGTCACTCCAACCATTCAGCTCTGTTCACTGCAGCTCCTGCTGTCTTTGTGTATCACACCATCAGCTGACCACTCTTAACTGCATACAAGACCCGGTACTGGTACCGTGGAAGACCTCATTTAATACCAGCAACAAGGAGGCATCTAAATCAACCCCGTTTCTCAGAGGAGAAAAACAAGCCAGAGGGGTTAACGATGTGACGAAGGCCACACATCCGTATTGTCAACTACACTGTCATACTAGGTTTGTGTCTTTTTTCGTGGGGAGGGGGTATTCATTTGATTAATTGAAAAAAGAATCCATTTGTTTCCTAAGCACCCGTGGGAGAGACCTCTGAAGACAGTTATGAGCAGTCAACGGGAAAGATAGTCAGAGGCCACACACATCATGGGTGGGGGTAGGGAGAGAAACACCTCCCCCAGCACCAGTCCCAAGGAATCCACCTCATCTGGCTGAAGTTGGAGGGGACTCTGCCTCCCTCCAATTAGCTGGCTATAAGCAGATGATCTGCCAGGGAAGGCTGCCTAGAAGCCAGGAGCGAGAGGGGCATAAGGACCCCCAAGTCCAGCCACCAGCTGGTCTAGGGTGTCACTTCAAGCTGGGCTGGGCTTCAACCAGTCCTGGCAGGGACTATGTTTGGGCAGAGCAAAGACTCTGAGGCGGTGCTGACTCAGAGGTGCAGGGAGACACGCTGGTGAGGAGGCCGGGAAGCAGGAAGGGGAACAAGGGGAAACTGTAATATCATTGGGGTAGAGGTGTGGGCTGGTGGCATATGTGGCCACCCAGCACCCCTTCAGAAGGACGGTGCTATGGGACAGCGCTTCATTTCCTCAGAAGCCCAGTTTTTGCTCTTGGGATTAACTCTCCCCACCTTGGACCAACCATCTGTAAAATGCACACACATACTGCTTCTCAGTGTATTTATTTTTTTCTGAGTACAAGCAGAGAGTAGGGGGTGCTGAACAGGGTGTGAGTAGCTTACATTCTGCTTTTAGTGGAGGATGAGAAGTGGGGTTTGGGTGTGGGGCATGCATGTGGAGGGTTTGGGTGTGTGGGCATATATGTGGAGGGTTTGGGTGTGGACACATATGTGGAGGGTTAGGGTGTGGGCACATACAAGGAGGGTTAGGGTGTGGGCACATACGTGGAGGGTTTGGGTGTGGGGCACATACGTGGAGTTTTGGGGTGCAGGCACATATGTGGAGGAACACAATTAACTGAAAGGACAGATAAGAAGGGTAGCTCTGAGATAAACTGCCAAGAATGGGGACCCCTGTTTCCCTCAGCCCAATGCTTCTTGGATTTTTTCTTTTTTCCTTTGAGTTAAAAGGCTATCTTGACCTGATGGGTGGTGGCGCACGCCTTTAATCCCAGTACTCAGGAGGCAGAGGCAGGCGGATCTCTGTAAATTTGAGGTCAGTCTGGTTTATAGAGCAAGTTCCAGGACAGCCAGGCCTGCACAGAGAAACCCTGTATCGAAAAACAAAGCAAAAAAACTTTCTTGAGACAGCTTGGGTCTGAGGTTAGAAGGGCCCAAAGTCATAAGTGGAAGAGTTTGCTCCGGCCAGCAGAGTCAGGTTCTGGTGGGGCAGCTCAGGCTTCCTCAGCTGTAGCGTCAATGCCAGCATAGGTAAAGTTCTCAAATAGCGACATGTTTACATAGGCCTGTGGAAAGAACAAGTCTTAGTGGAGCAGAAACAGGCAGATCTATGTGAGTTCAAGGCTAGCCTGGTTAACCCAACAAGCTCCAGGCCAACCAAAGCTACACAGTGAGACATTGTTTAAAAAAATCACTTATTCCTCACTTGTAAGGCTGTTGTTGTGATTTGATGATTTGTGTATATAATTGGTCCTTCTCTCCCTCCCTCCCTCTTCCTCTCCTCCTCTTCCCTCCATCCCCTTTCCTTCACCTGTTCTCTTCCCCTTTGCTCCCCATACCCCCTTCCCTGCTGTTTGAGACAGTCTTTCTAAGCCAGGCTGGCCTTGAACTCACTTTGTAGGTAAGAATGACCTTGAATTTGAACTTCCAATCCTGTTTCCATGCTGAGATTACAGGCATGTGCCACCATGTCTTGCCTATGGGGTTCTGGGGATCAAACCCAGGGCCCGTGCATGATAAGCAAGCACTCTAGCAACTGAGCTACACCTCAGGCCATATTTGTTTTGTTTTTGAGATAAGGTCTCACTATGCAGTCCTGGCTAGCTTTGAACTCACTTTGTAGACCAGGCTGGCCTTGAACTCACAGAGATTGAGGATTTGTGCCACCACACCCAGCCTGCCTTTTGAGAGACGAGCGTCTTATGTAGCTCTGGCTGACTTTGAACTCAGTCCTCCTGACTTCATCTCTCAAGATCTGGGTTTATAGACAGGCATCACAGGTACACAGCTTCCTTATTTTATTTTATTTTAATTTTTTTGGTTTTACGAGACAGGGTTTCTCTGTATTGTTTTGGAAGCTGTCGGTCCAGCCCGGCCTCGAACTCACAGAGATCTGCCTGCCTCTGCCTCCCGAGTGCTGGGATTAAAGGCGTGTGCCACCACCGTCCAGCCTCTTCCTTCCTTCTTAAGGTAGCTATTTAAGCAACATTATTTTCATGGTCAGGGGGTGGTGGTGCACACTTTTAATCTGAGCACTCGGGAGGCAGAGGCAGGAGAATTTCTGAGAGTTTGAGGCCAGCCTGGTCTACAGAGTGAGTTTCCAGAGAAACCCTATCTAGGGGGGAGACAACCCCCCAAAAAAGCCCAACAAAAACCCTAGACAAACCTGAAAAACTGTTTTCATGTTTACACGTTTTGCTGTATTTGTTATTTCATTTTTATTTGGTAATTTGTATACTTACATGGTTACCTGATTCAGTTATTGTATTATGCTATGTTTATTCATATGGTTATTGTATCACTAATTCCACTTATTTATTTAGTCCTTTCTGTATCATTTAGCCACTCCTCCATTTGGGTATTTTTTATGGCCCTGGACCAGGAGAGAATGGGTCAATGGCTTGGAAGAAGACAGACTAGTTGTCTGGAATTTAGGGGAGGGATTTGCTGTTGAGAATAAGAAATAACAGTTCTGGAAAGAGTACATATGGGCTTAGTGTCTAAACCCAGCATATGAGGCATCCTAAATCCAGCCCAGCTGTGGTGACAGCCCCAGCTGAGGGAGTTTGGGTGAGGGTGGGAGACAGTAGCCTCATATGTGGCATCTATGAGATGGTGCTCCCATGGGCTTGGAGGGTGCCCATCCCCACCTTGTCCAACCTCTTACCTTCCTGGCTTCTAGCATGCGGCCCAATTGTAGTGCTATCTGGGCAAAGGGAGGTCGCTCATAGGGACGATCCCGCCAGCACTGCCTCATCAGCTCGTACCTGTGCATGAGGGTAGGGGTACTGTAAGGTGAGGGACTGACTGGGGGCCGCTCACAGGTTCGGAACCGAGGCCACCCATCTCAGAGTTGAGTTCCCAGAACTCAAGCAGAACTCACACTTCATCATCACAGTTTCGGGGCTGCTCCATGCGATAGCCCTGAGGCAACTTCTCGTAGAGTTCAGCGCAGGTCATGCCACAGTAGGGCGTGCCTCCTGCAGTGGGTATAAGACTCCCTTAGTCCAGGGCCCCATGGTAAGGAGGGATGCTCTGGAGGACTGAGTGTAGGCTTACCGAGACTCACTATCTCCCAGAGGAGGACCCCGAAGGACCAGCTGAAATGAGAAGGGTGCATTTAGTGACTTGTGGGAGACGCACAGTTTAATCTCTGTATAACCAAGTCATGTAACCATACCAGGTCCCACATGTGTCTTATCTGCTAGCATCTGACCTTGGCCAGCTACTGTCCCTATTCCACTGAAGAGCCTTCATAGCTCCTGATTCCCCAGACTCAACTAATTATAGTAACATTGTGTGTATTTCCCTCTCTGTCTCTGTGTGTGTTCATAGGTAGACAACGGGCCTCTTTAATTGATCTCCACCTTAGTTTTTAGATGGTTTCCTCTCACCGAACCTGGAGTTTGCTGATTCTGATAGACTGGCCAGCAAGGCCCGGGGATCTTCCGGTCTCCTCCCTAGTGCTGAGATTTACAGTACTTGTTGCATATAATCTCATTCTTCTCTTCTCTTCTCTTCTCTTCTCTTCTCTTCTCTTCTCTTCTCTTCTCTTCTCTTCTCTTCTCTTCTCTTCTCTTCTCTTCTCTCCTCCTTTCTCTCTCTCTCTCTCTCTCTCATACACACACACATCAGATAGTTTGCCCACTGAGCCATCTCCACAGTACACCCCCGATACACACAGAACCCAGAAGAGGGTGTTAGGTCCAATGGAATTTGAGTTATAGATGGTTGTGAGCCACCATGTGAGACCTGGGTATCAAATCCAGGTCCTCTGGAAAAACATCCACTGCTCTTAACTATGGAACCATCTCTCCAGCTCTGAATTGAGAATATTGTAAACTGTCATTTCTGTTGAGCACTCACCGTGGTCTGAGCACTGATTAACTAACATAGGTACCAATTATGTAATTTACAACAGCCCTGTGATTCAGGCTTTACTATCCTCATTTTACAGATGGAAACACTGAGGTCTGAAAGGGACCCAAATCCTGGTTCTAAACTCCCATTCTTCTGTGCATGGCAAGAAACTCTGCAGACACACGGCAGGCCTGAGGCCAGGGCAGGGAATTCTAGTGTGGAGGAGAACTCTAGAGAGCCTTGGGAAGAAGCAGAAAGTAGGTGGTGATCAGAGGGGCAGTCAGTGAGAAGATCAGGCCAGTCCAAAGGGCTGAGGGCCGGGACAGAGCAGCTCAGGAGACAGGGCTGAAGGGTTAGCAGGTCAGGTTCAGAGTGAGATGGATGTATCTGGAGATAACGGATGTGTGCTAAGATGGTCATGGTGTGTGGGAAGTGTGCCAAGATGGTCATGGAGTGTGCAGGGTGTGTGTGTGTGTGTGTGTGTGTGTGTGTGTGTGTGTGTGTGTGTGTGGCACACAGGGGTCTGAAGGGTCATGTACTGGTAAGAGCCTCATGTGTCCATGACCTTACCCTTCAGACAGGAAGGTGGGCATGCCCCTTGAGCATTCTTTCTCTTGCTACCCTAGTAACTACCCAGTTTTTCTGGATCTCACTGAGGAACTCCTTGGTCTCTTACACAAAGAAAATCCTAAATACTCCCTACCCCATTTCTACCACTGAAGTCACTTCCAAGATCAAGATCCTTCCAGGTCTTGGAAGCCTCCTAGCTTCCTTGTAAGATAGCAGAAACTTCCAAAGCATCCTCAGAACTCATTGGTTGCACATCTGGAACATGTTGATACCCAAGTCATGCCTTCGGTAACCCAAGGCATTGCTGAGATGCATCTAGGCAATGTCTAAGTATCCTTGGAAGCCAAGCCCTCTGCCCCTTCCTGCCGCTGCCCGTACTCACACATCACTCTTGGTGGTGTAGACGCTATAGTTGAGAGACTCAATGGCCATCCACCGCACAGGGAGACGGCCCTGTGAAGGAAAAGGTCAGAGGGTCAGGATGGAAGAATGGGTTATTAGAGGGGCTTGAGAGGCAGGCCACAGGCAGAGGCCCTAAGTGGGAAAGGCTGAATGAGACTTGCCATCGTCTTCTTCACGTACACTTCCTCCCCCCGAGAAAGGCCAAAGTCTGCAATCTTGGAGGCCAGGTTCTCTCCAACCAGCACATTTCGGGCAGCCAGGTCCCTGTGGATGAACTGCAGGCAATGTCAGAAGTCAGGGAATAGAGGAATGAGGGTCCAGGAGCATGGGGCCAGTAGGAGACCCCAAGTCTTCCCACCCACATATGTCTCAGTCATGGATCACCTGACAAGGGGCTGAGAAAAGCAGTCCTGCCTCTCATGCATTTCTTCCCCTGGCTTGGGCCACAAAGTGCAGATAGTATCCCTCTTTCTGGGACAGGGGAGACTGATTTACTGTCCTCTCCTCCATCCGCTCCCTCTCCTCCTGTTCTTCCTTTTCTCTTCTCCCACCCTCTTCCCTCATCTTTTGAAACAGAGTCTTGCTGTGTAGTCTTGGCTGGCTTGGTACTTATTATGTAGCCTAGGTTGGTCTTGAACTCTTGATCCTCCCACCTCTGTCTTCCAAGAGCTGGGATCCCATCCTAGCTTTCCTCTTTCAATGCCTCTGTCCCATTACCCACAGTCTTGTCCTCTCTCCCCTACTGATGAAAGTCCATAAGTGGCTTCCATGTTCCAGGTTCTCCCCTTAGCCCTCCATCCTCCTCAGACATGTTTGTTTATCAACCCTGATGCCCCTCTCCTTTCAAAGACTCAACATTTTGCTGCCTGCAAAATGCCTGTGTTCAGACTGGAGTGCCCCTCTGGCAGTTGTCCCCTCTTTCATCTCATTTGGAGGCCACCCCACCCTCTTCAGTGGATCTCCACCCCGCCCCTGTTGGAGTCACTGTGCTGAAATGGCAGCCCCCACACTGTCTCCAGCCCAGGCCTGTCTCTTGAGCGCTAGTTTGGTACCTACAACTTGCTTGTTCAACGCCTCCACCAAGGATGTCCCTCAGGGACTTCATATCCAACACCTTCCCTTCTCCCTATCTGCCTCCTGTCCTCGTCTCCCTCCATGCAACATTTATAGTCACTCGGCACCAGGGCCTGAACCTGGGGCCGTGCCCCTCCTTCCCATTACCCATACCTCCCAAACCCGATTAGAGCCTGCTGATTGACGACCTGACTAGTTTGTGCAAAGGCCTCCCCTCTCCCCACTGTCTCCCACCCCACTCACTCACACACACCTGCTTCTCACTTAGGTACTGCATGCCGTTGGCTGCATCGCTGGCAAAGCGCAGCAGCTGCCGGGAGCTGAGGGTGGAGGCTGTCCCGTGCTCTCGAGCAAATGCTGGATCAGTCTCCAGAACCCTGCTCTTTCTCAGGAAATCCAGCAGGTTTCCATAGGGGGCATATTCGATAGCAATATACAAGTAACCTGGCAGGTAAGGAGACACATAGTCTTGGTTCAGATACAGGCCGTGTGTTGTTATGAGCAGTACGCAACCGTAAGTGATGGCCTGTAGCATGCAGGAAAATCTTGTGATGAATGGGGAACCTAGAGATCCCCTCAAGCTACTAATGTGGTACAGGTGATGGCTGATGACAGAGGTCTGGAAGGAAAAAGCCATGAACTAGGGGCTCACCTCTGTTCTCACAGGCCCCCAAGAGGTTGATGATATTGGGGTGGTGTCCTAGTTTGCATAGAACTTCCAGTTCACCTGCAAAGTCTCGATGGTCATTTTCAGAAGCATACTCTGTGTAAAGAAATGAGAATCAACTTTTGCCATGGATAACTCTGGGAGGGGGTCAGTTACTGAGGAGTGGAGCTAGGTAGGGCTGGTGTTTGTGGGGTAAAGGAAGAGAAAGAGGCAGGGGTCACATCCAAGGACCTTTTAGCATCTTGATGGCTGCATTCATCTTGAGTCCATCCTTCTTGATCATGGCCCTGATGACTTGGCCGAAGTTCCCCTCCCCGATGAGGTCCTCAAAGGTGATGTCCTCCCACTCCAGCACAGGGTAACTCAGGGGCTCAGGCTGTGGCTTTGGCCTCCGGGTCAATGTCAAGGTTCCTGAGCTGAACTGCAGAATTGTCTCTTCACCCTTCATGGGATGGGATGAATAAGCAGCTAGTCCACAGAAGAGATGTGTAGGCAAAAGGAAGCTCAAAGAGGCATACAGAGAGAGGGTCCAGTGGTTCGACAGATGGACAGAGCCACACCTACAGAGACAGTGCACAGAATGACAGAGCCTCAGGTGCATTTCGGGTGGACAGATGCCTAAAAAGACAAATACAGAGGCATCAGCCTGGGGGTCTAGTGTGTGGGGTTTGCTGCAAGGTGGAACTCAGGATCGGTCAATGGAACAAAGACATTCTAATATTTAAAAAGAGAATTGCAATGAGATGTAATGGGAAAGAATAAGCTTCCCATTATTGTGCAAACCCCACAACCAGGCTTTATTTATTCACTTACTTACGCCACCGTGGGTGAATTCCTTGAGTGTTTATTACATGGTAGGCCCTTAGCTATAAGGAGCAGGTGGACAGATTTTCTTCTTCACAGTAGGAGAAGCGGAGATGATCTTTGTCCCTCTACTTGGGTCTAGACAGTTCTAATCCCAGGCCAGGACTCAAGGACTCTAACAAAGAGGACTGTCGAGCTCCCTCTACTAAGTAGGGCTGTGCTGGGCAGGGCTGATGTAAGGGAAAGGCAGCAGCTGAACAGGAGTAAGGAATGGCAGCGTGAGAACATGAACAAGGTCCAGGTGGACATGCAGTGAACTTCCTTAGTGAACTGATGCCCGGTTGATGGGTTAGTGCTAGGGGCACAGGTAGCATAGATTCATGTGAAGCATTGCAACTGTGGCATATATTAGAATAAACATGTATGTTCTGTGGCTACATCATACGCAGGTGCATCCATTCAGAGATACACATACACATGAGGGTCTGAGGCTGTGCCAGGGACACATGAATACATACATGGGATGCACATCTGCACCACTACATGAACGTATATGAACATGAATATCTGTTCAGGGACACATAGTGGACATCCATATTTATACGTGAAATGATCCTGTGTATACTGAAGGTTGCAATCTCACTGCCCTGCCTCAGCATCTGGCCCTGCTACTCTCTCCCCGCCTCCCATGGCTTTCTGTGTGCACTGACCTCAGAGGCAAGGTCAACACAGCTCAGACAAAGAAGCCAGTTGAATATCTGGAGTCTGGATGGGACTTTTAAAGGCACAGCAGACACCAGCTTTGAACACTGACTTTCTATACAAGAGTTAGCCCTAGAGAGAGAGAAGTATTTCTTCTTTCCTTTCCGTCATTTTTAGTAATGCTCTGAATTTCTTTTAAATGACCCTAAATAGCAAGAGCCGGAGCGGAAAGGACCAAGGCTAGAGTTCTGATTCTAAGTGACAACAGGGAGATGGGACCGCCAGGATGGGTGGACATGACACGACAGAGCGAGATGTCAGCAGCTCCTTCCCATCTCTTGTCTGCATAGGTCTGGGGGCCAGAGGGCATGGCCTGTAAGAGGACTGAAACCTGAGGAAAGTTTAAAGAGTGAGCCTCTCTCCTCCAGGAGTGTGAGAGAGGCTGCAGGCCTTGCACACTTCTGAAGGGTCAAAGGTTGGCTATGTGAAGGGCAGGATCACACATTGCTGCCCTTCAAGGGGTATGGGTGAGCACAGGTGGAGTTCCCCAAAGGATGTCCTGGAGCCTCCAAGAATATAGGCTGGGGCTGGCATGGTGGCACACACCTTTAATTCCAGCACTCAGGAGGCAGACCGTCTCTGTGAGTTTTAGGCCAGCCTAGTTTACATAGAGAGAGAGACCCTGCCTCAAAAAGAGAAAGAAGAAAAAAGGAAGAAAAGAGTGAAGGCTTGGATGAGAGCTCACAGCCAGTAGGAATCAGAACACTGGCCGCAGATGTGCATAGATAGAGGCTGGTTCCCAAGTAAGGGAGGGCCTATGAGGGTAGAGGCCAGCGTGGGCCCTAGTCGCGATCCAGGCTGATAGTATCCTCGGAGGGTGAGTAAGCGAAGAAGGCAATTCCAGATGGTGGCTTCCAAGCCTGGAATAAGACCTGGTGAAATATGGACGAACTGTCCTTTTTAACTGAGACTGCTAATTATTCAATCATTAATATGAATGAACTCATGAGCTAAGTTCAATTCTAAAAAAAAATGAAAGTTCTATTTTGTACCCTAGAGGGTCACTGACTGTAGCTTTACATTTGTGGCATGAACAGGCATATGCACACCCATACTGACATGCACGTATGTGGGTACAAACACACACAATAGAGAGTATCTTGTACCCAGCGGGTACGGGGCACTGACCGATCCTGACTGGTAGGTGAAAGTGCGTCTCCGATGCAGGCAGCTTCTTCGGATGCACACCAGGGCTAAAAGCGCAGCCAGGATGGTGAGGCAGGTGGCAGAGATGGAGCCCACCACAGCCAGGACCAGCTGCTGACCCAGACCCTCTTCAGCTGCCCGGCTCTCTTGGACTGGGCCCTCGCTCTGCAGCCCTAGACACAATGAAGGACAGATTGTGGAGATGGCCTGGGCCAGGGAACCTAGAGGCCACTGTGGGATCCCAAGGAGGGAGAAGTTGGAGATCCTGGTACCATGCTATGAGGAGGCATCATGGATGACTAGAGTTCGTGGTTTGGGGAAGCAACTAGAATAGTTTCTGAGATAGCCCCAAGGTTGGAGGTAAGGCGGAGGGGCACATGCATCGCACAGTCCCAGGACTGAGGCACCCTGCATGGCCCCTTCTCTCACCATTGCCCAGAGTGGCCTCCTCCACTGTGTTGCTCCAGTCGCCGAGACCCTGCACACTGGCCCGCACACGGAAGAGGTAGCGAGTGCTGGCATTGAGGCCACGGACAATGGTGCTTGTCTCCTCGGGCCTGTCCACATCCATCCACTTCGGGTCTCCTGAGCTCCCGGCCACCTGAATCTCTACAATGTACTTGGATATAGGACCAGATGGAGCCTCAGGATGCTGCCATGTCAGCTGGATCTCAGAGTCTGAGAGGGCCTGGGCGTGGAGGTGCCGGGGAGCTGGAGGCCCTGGGGAGGTAAGAGTGGGAGGAAGGGGCAGGTTGGACGGGGCTGTTTAGCTGTGGGTCCGACGCACTTGCTCTAGCATTGACTCTTAGTGGATCCCAGCATGGGAGTCATGTGTTACCTTCCCCTGGCTGGGCTCACCTCCATCCCCAGATCACCCCCAGCTCCAAGCTGCTTCTTCCCTTGGTCACCTTGCATCCCAAGTCCTCTCCATGTCCTCAGTAGCTTAGGTTCCCCCCGTCCAGCCCTGTTCTTCACACGAACCATAATTTCCTCATCCATCCCCACCCCATGTGCTCTGTGTCCTCCCTGTATTTTCTATCTTCCCCATGCGTCCTGGGTTCTCTCCATGTCCATCCAGCTCTTGTGACCTCCCTTAACCCCTAGCCCATCATTCCCACAGTGGGCCTACCGCTGGGGGGAAGGAGCACATGCGCAGGGGGCGAGGCAGGGCCCAGGAGGGTGCAGTGATACAGTCGCACATCCAGCTGGTAGTGGGTGCCAGGCTCGAGTCCGGTCAGGAGGGCGGTGCGAGCCTGGGGGGATGAGATGTTCTCCCGCCTCTCCTGTCCTCGGGCCCCGTCCCACAGGCGCAGCAGGAAACCATCACCAAACAGTGGCACCGAGGGTAGGGACCAGCTCACTCGTAGCCTGTCAGGACCCTCCACGTGCCAGCCCTCTAGCCATGGCTGCAGCAAAGGCTCTGTGGCCAGAGGTCAGGAGGGGTCAGACTCATCCACTGGATCCTTGGGGACTAAATGGGATAATAACCCCCGGTGGTAGGGCTGGGACAACCTCCAGTGGAAAAGGCAAGGGTTTTGGGGGGTGGACCAAGCAAGACATATTCTGAATGGGCATGGCAGTGAACCCTGCGGGAATAGGAAGGAAAGACTCTTGGTTTCTTACCAGGACAGTCGGTAGTCATAATAGTAGGAGGCCCCCAGGGTCCCTCTCCTCCTTCCCCTGGCCGGCTCAGCTGCACACAGACACTGTATCCTGTCTTTGGCTTCAGGTTCATTAATGTCACATTCTCACTGGGATCCACTGGGGGTGAGGTGTGCCATACACATCACTCGGTCCCAACCGTCTCCCGAAGCCACCATTCCTATTCAGTCCCCTCTTCTTTTTGCACCACCCCTCCCTCCCTTTCTGTTCCTACCCCCTTAAGTCAGTCCCCACTTACCCACAATAGCAGACCAGGCAGTCATGCTGTCCTGGGGCCGGTAGTGCAGGCGGACAGAGGAGATGGGTCCATCTCCACCAAAGGAGACCAATGGGGAGACCACAAGCTGACGGCTCTGCTTGGCCAGGAGCCGAGGAGCAGTCAGAGGCATTGGAGGTACTGTCAAAAAACTGAGAGGAGTCAGGGTCCAGGAAGAAGGGAGCACTCTGGGATCTGGAGATTATATAGTTTGGTGGGAGGACACCAAGTTCAAGAGATGACTGGGACGGCCAAGGTTCAGAGAAGGCAGTTCTGGGACACAAGGACTTGACCATAAGGACATAGGTGTCTCAGAAGATGCTAGGTGAGAGTGTGACATGGCTATACGGAGGCTGGGAAACAGCTGTCTGTCTTTGCAATATTGCATAGAGGGAGGCTGGGATGCAAGACAGGGACCACTTAGGTGTCATGTGCTCTCTTCCCTCCGTTCACCATTCACCAATCTGTTGATTTATTTTAAAGACAAAACATGTCAGTGATGAGGCACCTGCTCCAAACTTGATGCTTGTTATGGGTAACTGCTAATTCTCAAGACCCCTGGGTCATGAATAAAGAAATCAAGGCTCAGAACATTGTATGACTTGCCAAAGGACACACAACGAGGAGAATTTAAATTAGGTGGGTTTGATCAGGCTACCTCAAATCAATCAGTTCTACCCTAAAGTAGTATTTGTGTTTCTGCCTGGTTTCCTCCACAGTTACCACCCCTATTCTGGCCTCAGTTTTTCTCTCTGTTTTTTTTTGAGACAGGGCTTCTCTGTAGCCTTCTCTGTCTTGGAACTCACTCTGTAGATCAGGCTGGCCTTGAACTCACAGAGATCCACCTACCTCTGCCTCCCAGTGCTGGGATTAAAGGCGTGCATTACACCACCTGACTAGATTATTGTATTAATACCTAAACAGGTTCACTGACTTCTTCAAGACTGACTTTCTAGAAAGGCAATGCTAGAAAGTATTAAAGGAAAGAAAGGAGAGTAGGAGGGAAGGAGGGAGTAAAGGAGGGAGGCTGAGGCGTGTAGAAGATGCAGGTCAAGGAGTATCAGGTGGCAAGAGTTTGTCAAGGACAGGTACAGATCAGGGAGAGATGAGTGTCTACTTTGTTACTAAGGAGTCCCCAGTGCCTGTGGTTCATGCAGGGATCTGAGTTCAAGTGAAGCGGTTGGTACACACCTCCACAAACTTCTGCATTGGCTTCTGGACCAGAACCTCACAGAAGATGCCTCACCTCATGGAGGTCCACTATGCAGGGCTGGCATCAGGACAAGGCTCCTAATTGCAGAACACAGTGCTACTGCCAGAGAAGTGTCGGTACCTTGGTACTAGATGTCATTTTAGATAACAGCACGTGCCCTCTATATCGAGCATACCTCTGCCAACCATTGTGCTGACTACTTAAATGCATTATCTAGTTAAGTCCTCCCAAGCAGCCTGGCCCCTTTTACACAGTGGTTTGGAATCCAAGTTGAGTGGAGGGCTGGAGCCAAAGATCTGATAAAAGAATGAGAAGAGAAAAATAGGGCCTGGTGGATGGGGTAGTAGGGACTGGGAAGCAGAAGAAAAAGAGGAGGGGAGGAAGAGGAGAGGAGAGGGAGAAGAGAGATGAAGACAGACAACCGGGGAAGCAGAAGGAGAGCAGGGCCTGGGGTGCTGGAGGGCCTGGGGTGCCGGGCTGCCCAGGTCTATAGTGCCGAAGTGAAGCACTGCCTAATCCATGGAGAGGGTGCTCTGTGCTTTGCTCTGAGTGCTTGGCAATTCTCTCTTTATTTACCCAGCAGACTCTCGTGTAAGTATTCCTTTTGAAGGGCCAAACGGGTTTGCCTATCCACTGTCTCTGTGTGTCCATGTGAGGTGACTCAGATAAGGGAGTAGAATCTCAGAGGTGGGGTTAAAGGGACACTGGGTGCAGTGGTGGGCAGCACATGTATATTCTGGAGGCAGGGCGAGGCTGGGGGATATCCCAAGTTTCTGATGTCTTTTCCAGGCGGTATCTGGAGGGACCAAGCTGGGTTCCAGCGTTAACACTGATTGGCCACCAACCTTCCTTGCTTGGGGCTGAGCTTTGCCCTTTGAAGCCCTTGTCTTTCATGCTAGGATCCCCAGCCTGAGTAGCATCCGGCCCTGCCTACCCTGGGTACCACCCATCCTCCAGAGCCTTAGAACACCACTAACCTTTGACATTGACCTTGAAGCGCCGGCTATCTTGACCACCGGACGTGGATACACGGCATTCCCAGAACCCGCTGTCCCCAGGAGTCAAATGGGGCACCTCAAACTCAGCTGTGGTCCTGTCTGGCTCCACAATGGCCTTGGTAGACTAAGACACAGACAGGGAGACAGTCAATGGAGAATGTATGCTCCATGAAACATGGAACTGACCATTGCTTGAGCACAGATCCAATAACATCCCCTCACAAACTAGCCTACCCCATTTAAGTCATGGCCAGGCCAGTGGGCAGAGCCTGTAAGTTCTGAGGGGGCTAGGGACCCATGGTGAGATAGGGGAGCAGACAGTAGGTTGGGGTGACTGGGGCTGACCAGGAGCATGGTGCCATCTGGCTTGCGGAGTTCCATGCTGCCTCGTACTGGAAAGGGATTCCCTGCAGCTGCACAGTTGATTCGAGGCCTTGTCCCCAAGTTGAACTCCAGCTCAGTGGCCACATTGAGGATCTGGGGGATCCGGTCTAGATAGACAGACAGACAGATAGATAGAAGACAGCCATCCTGAACAATCCCAAGGTAGCTTTGTAACCACCGAAGTGCTCTTTAACCTATGCTCTGAATCTCAGAGAGGGTCCCACTGTCTGCCCTGCCATTGAAAACTGAAATCAGCAAGGTCCTGAATGGTTCCTTCAGGCTCTGGTGTCCCACATCCAGTCAAGTACAGGGTTCACCTCCTCCATTTCTCCCATCACATTCCCTAGAATCTTCTGAGACTCAGAGCAAGCCCCTCATCACCCACCCAACTTAAACAGTTCAGGTTGAATTCTCTTTTCTCTCTGTCTCTCTCTTCCTCTCTTTCCTTCTCTCCTCCCCCCTCTCCTCTTCTCTCTACTCCCCCTCTCTTTCTCACTGTCCTATGCAGTAGCCTAGGCTGCCTGAAAATCACTTTGTATCACAGACTGGCCTTGAACTCCAAACAAGTCTCTTGTCTCAGCCTCCTGAGAGGTGAGATTATAGGTATGAGCCATTATTCCTGCCAACTCATTCTTTTCTGGCCCTTGGCTTCTTCCACCCACAATGAGAGGTTCTTCCTCAAATACAAGTCTGATCATCACACACACCCTTCAACAATTTCTTTCCTTCTCTCTTCTTGGTTTTTCTAGTCAGGGTTTGGAGGTTGTCCTGGAACTAGCTCTTGTGGACCAGGCGGTCTTGAACTCACAGAGATTTGCCTGCCTCTGCCTCCTGAGTGCTGGGATTAAAGGCATGCGCCACCACTGCCCAGCACCCTTCAGCAATTTCTCTTCAGCTCCTCACATTAAGTAGCAACTCTTGGCTTATAGTTAAAGACCCCATTATTTGAGCCTTCTTTTTTTTCTCTCTCTCTCTCTCTCTTGGTTTTTCGAGGCAAGGTTTCTCTGTATTCTTTTGGAGCCTGTTCTAGAACTCACTCTGTAGACCAGCCCGGCCTCGAACTCACAGAGATCTGCCTGTCTCTGCCTCCCGAGTGCTGGGATTAAAGGCGTGAGCCACCAACACCCAGCTACTTGATCCTTTTGACCACTCCCCTAGTCTCCTACTTCTTTGTCCCAGTACACAGCAGGATCTCAACTCCCTGGACTTTCTCCACATCCTTTCCCAAATATCTCTCGTGTCTTCCACATTCAATTTCAGATCTTGACTCCTCTCCAAAAGACTCTCACTGGTCAGGCTCTCCTTTAGATCCTGTGTAACCGAGTCAGCCTTCACAATGTGGGTGCCTGAACTCCCTAAGGGAAGGACTTGGGCACTACTGAAAGAAAGAACAGAGAGATGTGTTTGATGAAGGGCCACCTGTCTTGAGGGGGTCTCAGTGGCATATACCTGATTTCTCACAGTGAACTCCATGCCATCCAGAGGGGCAGACACAGCCGCTGAACCGGTCACAAGTGCCACCATTTTGACACTGGCACTGGAGACGACAATCAGCCCCAAAATGACCAGGGGCACAAGCTAGGAATAGAGGTATAGTTAATGGGTAGGTCAGGCCCAGCAGGGTACAGATGAGGCACAAGCTATCCATCAAGCTGGTGTGGTGGTGGAGGTCACTGGTAGAGAATTGAAGGGCTTATGTTTAGATCAGGGTCATAGTGAAGGGCCTGGCACACTTATGCCCATAGGAGGTGGCTTTGTCCATACCTTCCTGGCACTGGCTTCCCCTCCAGCCAGATCCACAAGAACAGCCATAGGGATCCGGGAGGCAGAAGGTGAGGCCCCGGCAGCCTGCTGTGCCTGGGCACTGTTCCTGGCAACGCTGCCCAAAACGACCCTCTCTGCAGGCTGAAAATAAGATGTTGGTATACAGACTCTGTCGGGCCTCGTACTTCAAGCTTCATTCCCATGGTTTCAGAACCTTCTCCCACTCAGGCAACATCTTCTGCCTAAGTCCTAGTTCTCCTACTTACCCTGCTCACAGCGGGTGCCAGTGAATCCTGGGGGGCACACACATTCGCCATCATGATCGTGACAAACACCTCCATGCAGGCAGCCTGGACAATCCTTGCCACACCCTGGCCCCCAGCGTCCAGCCCCACAGCCTGGAGGAAAGGGTTTTCAGTAGTTGTCCTTCACCTACCTGTCCACAGATGCTGAGGACAATGATAGCCCTGGGGCCCTCATGGATCCTGAGTCCCAAAGGAAGAACACATAAGGTTCACGGCCTCCCACATCACCCATGACCTCTGTTTTCTGCTCCTCACCCCGTACGATGAGCCGAAAGAAGGCACTGCCCAGGGGGCTGGCTTCTAGGTAGGTGGCACTGTAAATGCCACTAGATGGTGGCTGCACATTTTGGAGCTGCAGTTGAAACCGCCCATCATGGGCCTCGTGCCAGTCTAGGGTATGGAAGTAGGATCCTGGGGGGGACACAATTCGGTCAGCATCCTCAGAATCACATGAGAGGCGGGTGTTACCTCCTTCTGCCCTGGTCACACCAATGTGGTCTGTGCAGTGATCAGACTTGGGGAAAGGCAACCACCAGATACAAGTGTCCAAGCCAGGAAGCAGGAGAATATCCTCTTTATGCTCTGGGACTCCCCATAAGTCAAGTCCTCCCCGCCCCTCTCCATCCTCTTCAATTACTGATTCAGCCAGTTTTTCGTGCCTTTTATAGGAGCTCTGCATCCACACTAGCCCTATCTGGCCACCCTCCCATGGACAGCCCCTGAGATGCCTGTATAATAGACCGGTCCATACCCTGCTACTCTTGCAGGCTTTTAGAGCTCTCCCTTGCACCAGGATGAACACCAACTCTTTAGCAATTGTTTCACCAGTTTGCTCTCTCTTTGCTCAGCCCTCCAGTCCCATACCTTACCACACCCTGTCTGACCCCTAACATTCTTGAATTCCTAAATGCTTGCTTGCCTTCTAGAATCATCTGGCATTTCAGACCCTCCTGCCTTTGCTCTTGTCAGCCTTACCTCCTAGAATGCCTTTTCTTTCTCTGATGCTTTTGCTTTTCAGGGCTTTCTCCCAGCCTCTTCATCTAGGACCCACACTGGTAGACAAGGGCTCAACCCCTGCCTAGCTCCCTCTTGTCGTTGCTCAGAACTCTAAACAGGTTCACAGACTCAGCTCTCCCTGACCACTCCTACATTTCCTGGTGGTTGAAAGAAAGCCTTCTGTCTAAGAAAAAGGGTCTTCTCCCTTAGGAGCCAAGTGCCCAAGAGTCAGCCAGCACATTGTGGAACTGAGGCAGGCATTTGGGGGGCTACTCAGGATAAAAAGAGTCCTTCCATGGGGTGGATAAGGACAGGGTAGTGGGCAGAAACAGATCTGAGACCCACATATCTGTGTGGACTTCAGCACATGCCTGCCTTGGGCATCAAGGATCTGAACTAGGCATGTCTTTGAGAGAGGTTAGACTTCCCTTGGCCTGTCCTGGGCACTTGTTATCAGCTGTCTTCTTTCCCATGGGGACCACTGCTCTTCCTTGGCGGACCATGTGACAGCACCTGCTAACTCCCAGGTTAGCTCCGAATAGCTGGCCAATCAAATGCCCCTCACCATTGTTCTTCCATATCACATCCGTCTGTTTGGCCTTGTGCACACGCGCAGAAAGCACGGCCGTGTCACCTTTGTTCACCGTGTGTGTGACCTTGTCTGGAAACAGGTGGGCTGTGGGTGAAAGGTAAGGTCAGCGATTCAGGACCCCAGTCCTCCCTCTGTCTCTCTACCTCCCGGCCGGCCAGACTCACCCCCCGGGCTGTTGTGCACATAGAGGACTCGCGTGCGCCGCGCACTGGCGCCACCCACGCAGGAGAAGACGCCTACCAAGTCCGAGGGCTTGGAGAAGCCACGCAGCGTGACCTGGTGTGAACCATTGCGTGCCAGGTTCAGGGGCTGCCCGGGTGGGAAGGTGCGGACGATGCGGTCATCCTTCTCCAGCAGCAGGGGTGGGCCCCAGGCGTCTGAGCCCCTCCCTGTCCCGGCCTCACCAGACACGCAAGTCAGGAAGAAATGCTGGGGGTCCGTGATGCGCAGGTTGGCCAGCAGCGTCAAGTCCACAGCTGCACCTGGGACCGGACAGCAGTGACTCTAAGGTAGACCAGCCAACTCGCCAGCCCCAGAAGCCCGCAACTCCAAGAGTAACTCTGGTGTTAATGTTTCGCCGTGCCCTCTGAAGACTTCACTTTGTCAGGGATTTCCACCCCGTTCCTTTCCCTTCCCCACATGCCTGCCCTTTGCCCTCGTGTCACTCCCTTCTAAAACATAAACAACAGCACATAACCTTCTCTGGCTCCAGGCAGATTTGGCCCTTGACATCAGGGCTTTCACAGGGAAAGATTGATGCTTCTGTCTCCTTTCCTTTGTCCCTGTCAAGTCACCGCCCTGACTTCTGTCTCAACCGTCTCCACCACAGCTATCCCTAAGCCATTTGCCCGGCCCCACATGGAGGTGCAGGTTAGAAGAGCCACTCAGACTGTAGTGTCATGCAGTCACCCTCCTTGCTGCTTAAATAACTGAGAACTATTGGATTGACTGGGATCGAAAGTAGGCTAGGGACAGAAATGAAGTTGCTAGCCCCACCTAGCCCAGAGAGACACAGACACAGGTGGGTCTAGTCCTGACTGGGGGCACTGGAATTCCCTCCCAGTTGCAGGTATTGGGGTAGAAGGAGCATGGGGGAGGGGAGAGAACAGGAGGGAATTGGGAGAGAGGCTTCACCAGAGGAGAAACTTGAAGGGCTTTAGAAGTTTAGGTCGTGTACATGGGTGAAGAGGAACAAGAGGAGAGAGGTCAGGGGTAGGGAGAGGCCATCCTGCATGCAAACAGCCTGAACAACACATGGAATGAAAAAGGTGGTGTGGGGACATGGGCTGCCCAGGGCTAGTGTAAACTGGAGCATAAAATTTGCCCCCACCGTGGGCAAGACCAAAGAGAAGAGCCTGATTAGCCTGCCTCAGATCTGTTACCCCAGCCCTTCCAAGGCCCCTCCATTCCTGTCCCTTTCCTGCCTGTTAACTGTCAAGTAATCAATTAATTTAAATGCCACTTAGCATATCAGTTAATGGTCTTTGGCAGTCTATTGTAAGTAAAAGAAGCTGGCATTTACTGGCCACCTCGTTGGTACCAAATGCCCTTTCTCTGTGGCCTCCTGGTGTCCTGCAGTGAAGCTGATTTTCTCTGCTGTAATAATTATTCTTGAGCTTTCTTGAACACGTTCATCTACTCCCAGGGTTTCAACCATCACCTCTGAGTCAGTAGCTCTGGTGTGGCTCCAAATTCATTTGCATTCGTGTTTCCTAAGCCTTCACCTCTCCCAAGTTCCTTGACTCAGAGACAACACCCATTACCCAAGACACTAGCTTCAGTGTCATCTTATATTCCCACTGTCATAATAATTAATGTTTATTGGATGTCAATTATTCATTGGGCTCGTTAGTGATGCTCTCTTCCTTCCCCGTCTTACTGTTCTGGGAGGTGGGTGTTATTATTCCCATTTTATTACCAGGAAACAAAAGCTTAGAACTTGCCCACGGTCATGCAGTTAGAAACTGGCAGAGCCAGGTTGTCCTAACAAAATCCTCATTGCTCACTCTCAGTCTGGCACATTTTCCTACTGTAGTCTTCCTATACCTTGCTGGCCACCCCTGTCTCCCCACCACCTTTGTTCAGCCCTTTTCTTTACTTACTTGGACCATTTTAGAAGCCACAGCCTCTTTTCCAACTCATTCTCCAAAGTGATGCCACCAAGACTCAAAAACCCCCTGTGACTCATTTGCCTACCCTGTCCCATGGCTCCCAGGTAACTTCAGGATGATGTGTATCATCTGAGCATCCTTGTGGTTCACACTCGACCTCTCCAGCTACTTTCCCTCCAGAGCCCTTTTCTCCTATGGACTTCCATGCATCCCAAGCTTGCACTTACTACTCGGGTGGCTTCCTCTCTTAAGGAAATCCTTCTTGTTTTCTTGGTCTACTACTGGAGGCGGAGTAACCTGCATCTCTATTGTCAGTGCTCCTCAAGAACTTTATGTCTGTCTGAGGCCCTCATCCCTGGTCTGTGCTCCCCACTAGACTGAATCACTCAAAAGACACCTCTGGCTTCCAACCGATAGGCTGAATGAATCCATCGCCCATTTTCAGAAACCTTCAAGACTTCTGCACACAACCCCATTTAAACAGCAAACATATTCACTCGGGAGGCCAGCATCATTTAATTTCCACTGGATAGGTGTGGGAGTCTCCAGACACCCAGCTAATAGAATGCCATTGGTGCTAAATAAATGTTTGATATTATTATTACTATCATTTTGAGACAGGGTCTGTCTATGTAGACCAGGCTATCCTCAAACCCACAGAGATCCACCTACCTGCCTCTGTCTCCTGAGTGCTGTGATTAAAGTCACTGTGCCCAACTGTCCAATGAATTATTGAATAAGCCCAACAGAGTTACTCCTGAGGTCCAAAACAATGTCTGTCTTCTGCACTCCCCCATACACAGGCAGTGGTTTCTAGCACCTACCTGAGTTTTCTCCACCCTGATCTCATTTTTTTGGTGCATCAAAATCATGATGATGATCGATGACAGAGTTCCTATTTTTCTCTCCAATTTTTAAATTGTATTAAAATACATATACCCTAAAATTTACCCTCAGAACCATTTGTAAACATTCAGCTCAGTGTTAATAAATACATTCATAACACTGTGTAAGCATCGCCACACACTTCCACAGTTCTTTTTGTTTTTGTTTTTGACATAGGGTCTCACTGTGTCTCTATGTGTTTAACATGAAGTTCACTACGTAATCCAGGCTGGCCTTTCAAGTGCTGGCATTAAAGGAGTACACCACTACACCCAACTCCATAACTTCTTTCATCTCATGAAGCTGAAATGCTACACCCATTAAACAATAACTATTTTCCCTCCCCCCAACACATGGCAGCCACCATGTTGTGAGATCCATTGCTATGCTATACTTGGGAGGGCTGGGACTAAGACCTGGAAATCAGGGGTTGGGAAGGCACCCACAGGAGACTTACCAACATGAGAAGCCAAGAAGAGAACGGGGAGCAGAAAAGGGGATCCCCACCAGACCATACTCCAGAGGCTAACCCGGGCCAGCCAAGGCCAGCTGGGCCTGGGGTCAGTTGCTGTGGGTGTGGATGCTCAGTCTGTTCGGCTTAGGCGCCACAGCCCTGGAGAGGAAAAGGAAATGATGGCTGGGGTGGGAGGGGTGGCAGGGGAGATGGGTGGGACGACTTCTCCTGCTTCCCAGCCTGTAGTCCTCTCAAATCCAGCCCCCACAAGCCTGGAGATGGGTGTGTCTTGGAAGTCCCCGAAAAGGGGCTGCTTGAGGTGTGTGGTGACAAGGACAGACCTGGGGATGGTTGGACCGATTTCTCCCATCTCCTCTGTCTCTTCCATCTGTTTTGCTGGAGCACAGGAGACAGGAAAGGGAGGAAGCCAGTGGTTTCCACCTATTGTCTGGAGGCAGGACATTGTTCTGTGGCCTCCCCTCCTCCCAGCGCTCGCGCAAACACACACACACACACACACACACACACACACACACCCCGAGGCTCGAGTGACTCTTTACGCATGTGCTCCAGGACACAGACAGTTACTCCTGATCCTAGAGAGCAGGTCACAGAAGCACAAGCATGAAACAAAAGGGATTGGGAGCATGAAGAGACTTCTGGTCTCTTATGTGCCTTTCTCATTTTACACATGGGAAAATGGAGGCCTGTGGTAGTTAGGGAATCCTGAGGCTGTGCCGAGGTTGGCACTTAAGCTTTTGGTCTGGGCACTGGCTTCTCAGTGCTGGTTGCTCCACGAGAGACACATTGCAGCATACAGAAGGAAACACAGGCAATGGTCTGTGGCATGCCTGGCTGTTCCTCATCCACAGCCACCGGTAGGCTCCGGCTCAGCATCTGCCCGTTGTTATTCATTGTGCAGCTAACCACGCCTATTCCTCAACACTGAGGGAGCAGTAGTATACCCAGGAATACGCAGCTATGTTTTCTTGTTTCAAAATTGAGACATAATCTTATTATGTAGTTCAAGTTAGCATGGAACTCATTTTATAGTCCAGAGTGGCATGAACTCTTTGTGTAGCCCTGGGTGGCCTCAGACTCATGATCCTCCTACTTCCCCTTCCTGAGTTCTGGCGTTGTAGGCATGTGTGCATACCATAGAGCATATACTCCAGCCAGAGGACAGTTTGTGGGAGTCACCTCTCTCCTTCTACCATTTGGTTCCAGGGATCGAATTTAGGTCATCAGGCTTGGTTCCAGGTGCCCTTTTCTGCTGAGACATCCCATAAGCTCATATATAGTCCTAGAAGCTGACCACACCTGGGAGTAGTCCCCTTGGTCTATTTTCCAAAGTTCCACTGCTGCATTTCTTAGACCTGTCTTAGCATTTCAATGCCCATGTTCCCACTGCCAGCTCCCAGATAAATCATGCCACATAGAACACCCATGGGGAGGTGATTCCCCAGAGCAGGAGAAGCTCCTGGTTAGCCTGGGCTCACTGCGTAAATCTGTGTCCTCATCTCCAACAATGAATGAATAGGGTTGAGAGGTGGTACCAGCTGAAGTAACTTGGAGGTTTTAAACCTCTCTCTGGGGCTGGGACTTTGTTCCCAAGTCAGTTCTGGTGAAGGCTGTATTCTTTTCTGAACCAACAAGTGCAAAACCACTTTTCTGGAAAGCTGGGACCTTGGGAGCTTTGTTTCTCTGGTTACCCCTCTTCTGAAGGTGTCTGAAAGAGCCCTGGGTTAGCTTGACTCCTAGAACAGCATGAGAAAGACTCGAGGAAGGCATCCATCACCTTCTAGGCCTGAGGCTGGGAAGATTATCTGGACAGACTGGGAGAAGAGGACTGGTTAAACTCCAGCTCATCTTTGAATATCGGATGAACTAGCATTTGAAGTATGCATTTACCCAGCAGGATGTTGGCTCAGTATGCTTTTATGGAACTTGCCCTTACTTTTGGAGAAACCTTGGGGGTCATGATATCATTGTGGAGAAGGATGGAGAACACTTTTCTTTTAAAACTTTTCATTTTTATTTTATGTGTATGGATGTTTTGCCCTCATGTATGTCTGTGTACCATGTATGTAGTGCCTGTGGAGGCCAAAAGAGAGGTCAGATGCCCCTGGGATTGGAGTCACAGATGATTGATGCCATTATGTGGGTGCTGGGGATCAAACTCAGGTCCTGTAGAAGGGAAGTCAGTGCTCTTAACCACTGAGAACACTTCATTCTTGAAAATGACAAATGTACAGGTGTCTTTTCTGAATGGGCAAGTTTGAGAAATCTGACATAAACACATGGGAAGCTCCAGGCCTTTTGTCCTCCCCATTTTCAGCTGGGAAACAAAACATGGTTGCAATTGCTTGTAGATCATCAAAAAATAAATGTTGCTGAGTTTCTACACAAGCGTGCGCATTATGAAACAGTACCCTGTAAGTGTAAACACATTTTCCCATATGTTGAAAGTAATTTAAATACCATCAGTTTACAAACAGCAAGTGCCAAGTGAAATACCATCCCATAAACAAATGTTGAGTGGGTTGTGAATACATCTGCTGTTACAATAGGAATACTGAAACCACAAAGCATAGCTTAAATTTTCAATTCCTAGAAAATTAGAGGCCCTAAATAATGTTGTACATAATGTCAGGTTAGCTCTACAACCTGAGCAAGGTAAACTATTTGAGAGAGCAAAACTAAACATCATTTCCCAAAAGCAAGGCATGGTCAACTCCACATCAGGCAGATAATTTACTTCTAATAAAGTTGTTCTTCCCCAAATTGTGGAAACTCAGAAAGCAGTGGGGACAGAGACACTTTGGAGTTTTGATGTTATTGTGGAGATGTATGGGATTTTCTGGGTTGTGGAGAGCCAGGGCAGTTAGGCTTCCTGGCTAAACACTGATGTGGGGTTTTTGGCACACTCTCCTTGCAGGGACTAGGTCTTCCTTGAAGATGAATTTGTTTCCACAACTTCAGGAAGAGATGTTCCCCCTCCTCCAGGATCCAGCATGTTTTGGCAGCCTGAAATAGAAGTGGACTTCTTCCAGGTAAAGACTAATGGTGTAACTGTTCGTGGAGGTTCTAACCGGAGAGCCAGGAAGGTCATGAGATCACAGCCGGGTGGTGAAAACCAGGACTTTGAAGTATTTGTCTTGGAGAAGACTTTTTTCTCCATAACTGGGTAGTGGGGATGCAAGAAACACCCTCTTAAGGTTGAACAGTTTAACACGTGTTCTCAGTTTATATTGATTAAGCCGTGGTCCTACCATGCATCCTGAACAGGCAGTTTCTGCCACATATCTTTTGTGAATTCTCTCTCTCTCTCTCTCTCTCTCTCTCTCTCTCTCTCTCTCTCTCTCTCTCTCTCTCTCTTTGTGGTATGTGCATGTTTGCATGTATATGCTGTATGTGCCCATATGTGTGTGTGTCAAGCACACACACACATGCATGCTGGTATACCCTTGTGCCAGAGACCAGAGGGTATGAAGTGCCCTGCTATATCACTCTCCGCCTTATTGATACAGTCTCTCACAGAACCTAGAGCTAGGCTGGTGACCAGCAAGCCCAAGTCATGTTCCTCCATCTGTCACGGTGCTTGGGTTGTAGGTACATGTGTAGGCACACTGGGCTCATGTGAGAGTTGTGGATAGATTGAAGGTTCCTCATGCTGTGCAAAATGCTGGGCCTTTTCTCTCTAGCCCTCTGGTGTGAGTTTTCTTCTTAAATTTTTAAAATTTTACTTTATGCCATGGATGCCAGAAGAGGGCCTCAGATCCCTGGAATGGTAGTTACAGACAGTTGTGAGCTGCCATGTGGGTGCTGGGAATTGAACCTGGATCTGAAGAGCAACTGGTGCTCTTAATCTCAGAATCATTTCTCCAGTTACATGGTGAGTGATTTTGATTCTGGGTCATGACAAAACTGCCTTTTGAGCCTTATTATTTCATTTATTTATTATAGAAATAAAAGCCAGGAAGAACTCTCGAGAGTGGCGGGGGGGGGGCTTCAGGGAACGAATACCTACTCTCTTGAACCCCGCCCTTCCTCCCCTGAGTTTTGGAGACGGGGTTTCTCTGTGTAGCCTTGACTATCTTAGAACTCATTCTGTAGACAAGCCTGCTTTGAACTCACAGAGATTCACCTGCCTCTGCCTTCTAAGGGCTGGGATTAAAGGTGCATGCCAATGCATCCAGCCAGATTTGAATTTTTGTTGTTCTTGTTGTTTGTTGAGACAGGGTTTTTCTGTGCAGCCTTGGCTGTCCTGGAATTCACTCTGTAGACCAGGCTGGCCTTAAGATTTGAGTTCTGAAGCATCTGGTGTGGCCTACACATTTGTTGTGTATGCATTTTGCTGATCACGATTTGTACGATTTTGCTGATCTTGCCTTTGAATGTTGTAACAGAGCCAAATCTTAACACCAGCTTCTTGGAGCTTATTCTCAGCCCATCTTTGTAAGTTCCCAGATGAGGGCAGGACCACAGATGGCATTTTGAGTGGCATTTGTCTAGCAGGGCTATGGCCAGAGGGTTGTGGGATAGATGACTGAAGTCACAGTTGAGGTTTAAATCGGCTTTTGGAGAGTCTCTATTGTGCTGTGATGTAGTGAGGTAAGTGGAATCAAAGATCATGGAGATGACTTCTCTATCTTTACATAGATGCTTACGGCCTAAAGAGACTGTGCGGGCAATTCCAACAGGCCTTCCTGACATGTACCAGTGTCTGTAGCAACACAGCGAGACCTTTCAACCCTCGGGATGGAGTTATGTGCTTCCTATGGACTGATTTCAGATTTTAGGTGGTGATAGGAAGGAAAGACATTCCTGGAAATGCTAAGTTTTGGCTTCCTTTGTTGGTTGTGACTGTTTTCTGTCCTGAACCCCAGAGTACTTAGAAAGCCCAGATTATGGAATATCTGTTGTATCCCTGTTTATCTGGAGCTGAGTCTACTTTTCCTCATGTTAGATCATCCTCCACCTTCAGTCTGGTCATCTCTACCATCCTTTCTCAGCAATTGGGGACTGGGGAGATGGAGGAACGAAAGACCACACTGCACTGGGGAGGAGCTCATGCTGGAGGATGAGGAATGAGGGAGGTTGGCAAAGGTCTACTGAGTGTGTGTGTCAGATGGAGGGGAGAGAGCGTCTCTCAGGTTTCCCTGGCCTTCATTCTGATACTTGTGTAGATGTCAAGGATGAGACTGACAGTTCCTGGCTGGGTTTCCTCAGTCCCAGGGCAAAGGACAATGGAAATGCAGCCATGGCTGGCATTCCTAATATTTGGGGTGGGATGCCTGAGTAGGTAAGAGTGCTTGCTGCTGTTGCAGAGGACTTGGGTTCAGTTCCCGGAACCCATATAGTGGCTCACAACCGCATGGAACTCCAATTCTGGGATACCCAATGCCCTCTCCTGGCCTCCGCAGG